ATAGCCGCAGACCGGGGGCCGCCCCCGCGAGCAGTCGCCTGGAAGAATGGGCCACCCCACCGAGCGCCCCGCAAAGGCGCCTGTCGTCCCTCCAAGAGTACACAGGACCGACGGTCCCGTGCACTCCCCCACAGCCTTCAGACAGCACCCCACCCGCCCCATGACGGCGCGGGGCGCTGCCCTCTGGCCGCGTCTCTACCAATGACGCCCAGTGTGCAATGGGCGATAGTTCATGAAGAACGATCGCCCACTGGAGCATACCTGGTAGTGAATGCCTGGGTGCAATGGGGTTAGTACCCCACCAGGCATTCGCTTCCCCCGTTGGCATGGGCTCGATGTCCTAAGACAGAGCCCGCCTGCAGTTGTAGTACTGCGTCGTCGCTCCAGTCCCCGGTACCGCGAGGAAGCCACCCCATCCCCCAGGGGGGAAGGGGAGGGCCCCACGCGGGCCCGAGGGCCGTGGTGGACGTCTACCGCTCCGCGCTCGGAAGGGAGCAGTCCCCCCTCTATCGGTGCCGAGTCACCGGGATTTGAAGTCAGAGTTGCCTTCTCCTTCCGGCGTAGTGATTCCCCATCCTGCTAAGGATGGTTCCTCCAGACCCTCCATGCTCCGAGAAGCATGGAGGATTCTTGGAACGCCGGACCCAATCTGCTGTAGTCTTGCCCTAAACTATTTAACCTATTCTCTTTTCTTCGCTATGTTTTTTTTTCTTTTTTGTACATCTTATCACAGCCTTACTGCCCTTATATAATATAAATTAAATAAATAAATAAAATACCTCATACTCGTTAAAAAACTATTATACATTGGTCACGCCTTTTCCCTAATTCTATGCATAAACTAACTAAAAAGCTAATATCATCAAATATCACAGTACGGTATAAATCTTATTAGTCTGTTCTGTTCTGAGCCATATATACAAAGTCTCTTTCTACCTTTTCTGCTTTATTTTCTACGCGCTACTAAATCAATCACTATTCTTTTACTCCCTATCTTCTCCTCCCCTTTTTTTTCTTTTCTATCTCTTTTTTCCTTTCTCTTTCCAGTTTACTCAGTACTTTGCATTTCTCTGAGTCTAATTCATCACTCCATAACTTCTTCCATACTTTCTCCTTGTTCTCATCTAATTCCCTAAACCAACTACTCACCATTTGACACTCCCCGACATAATGTTCCATACAATCCGTTTCTTTCCCGCAAAATACACATCCTTTCTGTTCCTTTTCAATCCAGTACTTGTTTCCTTCCTCCATGTTTCCGCATCTCAGTCTGACTAACCCTCTTACGCCTTCCCCTATTCCTATTCTACCTAAATTTTCTTTCCTTAAATAGTTGTGTTTTCTATTCCCTGCATCAAATTCCTTGTACCTTACGTTATACCTCGCAGCCCTGAGCTTACTTTCTTCGCATTGCCTTTGTCCGTCCCTCTCCCTCCTAATTATTTCCTTCTCGAATCTCCTCTCGTTTCCCCCCTCCCTCAATTCCCTAGCATTTATACCCCATCCGTTCCTATTATAAAACTTTTCTCTTTCTTTACTATATACATCTTTCCACTTACTCTCTTCTTTTTCTTTCCAGCAGCTTCGAAGCAAACCGTCTTCCTTCCTTGTTCCTATCCTTCTCTCATATCTCTTATTGTCTTATTGTCATATATCTATCATTGCTCTTATTCCCCAGCCTATCCTTAACTTATCCATCGCTAGCTCCCTCATTATCACATATCTTGGAGTGCAAAACTCTATATTGAAAATCCATCTCGTATAATCTAACATTATTCTCTCTAAGCTTCCTCTCTCTTCCCACCCCCAAATCTCTACACCATAGCCCATGACACTCTGTACCAAATATTTAAACAACACCCATCTCCTTATAAAGTCGTTTCTACACACCCTTTCTCCTAAGCTCCACACTTTCTTTGCTGCCGCCTTCCCTTTCTTACTTAATTCCGCTATATGATCTTCATAATCCCCCTTTCTATTAAACGTGAAACCTAGATACTTGAAACATTGTGTCTCCTCTATCTCTCTACCCTCCCATTTCCATACTTCCTTTTTTTCTTTTCCATGTTTGTTGAAAACTACTATCTTAGTTTTTTCTGTGCATAATTCTATTTTCCTACTTTTTATGAAACTCTTTAAAGTGCTCATCATGTCTAATAATGCTACCCTATTTTTCGCCAATAGAACTATATCGTCTGCGTATGCTAAATTCCAAATCCTTTTGTTACCTATCGCAACTCCTCTTATATTCCTATTTTTTAGCTCTCTATCTAGATCCGCTATATACACATACCTGCGTATACTAAATTCCAAATCCTTTTGTTACCTATCGCAACTCCTTCTATATTCCTATTTTTTAGCTCTCTATCTAGATCCGCTATATACACATTAAACAGGAGTGGACTCATCACACAACCCTGCCTGACTCCTCTTCTCGTCTTGAACTTCTCTGTTAGACCTTTGCTTGTCCTAATCGTCACTTCCGTGTCTTCGTATATAAATTCCAATCTCCTTACCAGCTGCTCCCTGATTCCGTATTTTCTTAGTAACTCCCATAGTATTTTTCTGTCCACTTTGTCGAAAGCTGCCTTCAGGTCTGCAAAGAGGGCGTATATTTTCTTCTCCTTATTTTCTGTCAGCTTATTCTTTTGAATCAAGTGATTTAATACAAATATATTATCCATCGTCGACCTGCCTTTTCTAAATCCTGTTTGCGTCTCTGGTATTACATCGTTCTTCTCTACTTCTTTTTCCAATTTTGTTCTTATAATCTCCGCGTACCATTTGTATGCTGTACAAAGTAAAGATATTCCTCTGTAGTTCCCTACCTTTTCAGTGTCTCCTCTCTTGTATAGCGGCACAATAATGCTTTTCCTCCAGTCTTCTGGTATTTCCCCTTGTCTCCAAATTTGTCTCAGTAAACCCACCATGTCATCCCATGCCTTCCACATATTTCCATGCTTCCGTCGGGATTCCATCTATACCTTTTGCCTTTCTGTTTTTCATTTTCTTCAGTGCTTCTCTTATTTCCTCTTCTTTCAACTCCTCCAATTCTTGCTCCTCTTCTCTGTTCTCTCCCATCCTCTCCTTCCTTCCTTCCTCTTCTTGTACTCTTTCCTCGATACCCCCTAATAAACTCATAAAATGTTGTCTCTAATCTTTTTCGATATTATTCTCTCTCCAGACCTTCCTACCTCTTTTTTTTTAATGACTTTCCAGATATCTGCCTCTTTCTTTATGTACCTCAATTCCGCCTCCTCCTCTTCTCTCCTTTCCTTTTGACTTTTTTCCTTCAGTTCCCTAAATTTCCTTCTTTCTTCTAAGTATTCTCTGCTACCCACTTTTCCTGATCTCCATTTCTTGTATACTCGCTGTACTTCTCTCTTCTTTCTTGTACAACTTCTATCCCACCAATCCTTATGTCCTAGTTCCCTTCTTTTAATTCTTATTTTCTTCACTACCATGGCTTCCTGTACTATTTCCTTGATTCTTTGCCACTTCTCTTCTGTTGTTATCCCTCTCTGTACTGTGCCCGCTAGCGTTTCTGTTTTTTCTTGATATTCCTTTATGGCCTGCTCGTTCCATACTATTATCTCCTTCCATTCCGAGTTTTTTTCCTCTTCTATCTTCTGCCTCTCCTCTTCCCCTTCGATGCTGAGCAGCAGCGGCATGTGATCTGAGTCCACTCCATCTCCTATCTCAAATTCTTTAACATTGTCTCTTACGCTTTCATTTACGATTACATAGTCTATGACCGTGCTACTCCTATAACTTATATACGTATATTCCCCTTCCCAATCCCCTTCCGTTGTATCGTTTAGTATATACCACCCTTTTTTCTGCGCCCAGTCCACCAGCTTTTTCCCTCCATTTCCTATCACTTTGTCCCTGCTTCTCCTTGTTATTTCTTCTTCTTCCCATTCTATACTACCTAACTCCCCTGATCTTATATTAAAATCCCCCCCTATTACTATATTCTCCTTTTCCATATTACCTATCATCTTTTCCAGCTTCTCTTCTAAATTCTTCCAACTCCCTCTGTTATAAACCGATATTATTACAATCTTCTTTCCCCCTGTCCCTATGATCGACATTACCACTCCTTCCTCTTTTTTCTGTATTAGTCTTGAATTTTCTGTCCACCCTTTCTTTACCCCCATTATAAATCCCCCTTTAGCCCTACCTCTTTTCTTTTTTCTCTGTGCGTATACACATTCCCAATCGTGTGAACTAGGCAACTTCCCCTCGATTTTCTTCCACCCATTCTCCTCTAACCATGTTTCACTTAGACTTATGAACTCAAATTTTCCTATAAATTTCCAAAATTCTTTGT